GGCTTGAGAAATTGGTGAATCGTGAAGAAAACACGTTTTCTCACTGCAAATTCGCAACTGTCAACTCATTGTTCTTCGCCATATTCTTTGTTTACCCGTTGCCACAAATGTCATTGTGAATGCGCAGTCTTGTATTCTATCGTTCTTGAGTTGGTGTAGTGTGCGCACCTCCATACATCTTCATGTATATATTTCAAGCGAGCCCTACTATTTAAATAGGCGGCCGATAAATTCTGTGGTATGAGGTGGCTCCTATAGCTGCATTATTACATCTATTCCGTGTGTTGCAATATCCACGGAAGCAGCAGTTATGAAGAAAATGATTTAAAAATATTAGACAAATTCTCTACTTATATGTTTGGCTTTCCTTTGTTTTATTTTTCCAACGTCAAACACTTTTTTTGAAAAAGTTGGTACGACAAAAAATACGAAACACGTTTTCTGTCAGATAGCTAACATGGCGGATAAGAAGAAGTGAAACTACCCGAAAAAAATATCCTATATGCTAATCTAGGCAAAAAGCTACCTAGGTACCAAATTTTAAGCAAATCGGACCATAAATACGATTTTTTCGAATAGATCAGTCCCTGGTCCACTTCCCGGAAAAAAGGATCCTATATGCTAACATAGGCAAAAAGCTACCTACATCCAAAATTTTAAGCAGATAGATCGGTCCCTTGTCCACCGGAGGGGTTTCCCAAAATTTTCTTTCTTAAAAACCTTCTCCTGGCAATGACGAACAACTGAAAAAAATAGCTAGCCAAATCGGCCCAAACGTTCTCAATTGATGGATTACTATACATTTTTCACACCATTTTTAACCGACTTCCAAAAAAGGAGGAGGTTATCAGTTCGTCGGAATAGTTTTTTTTTTATGTATGTTACCGCATAACTTTGGACCACGTCAACCGATTTCGATAAATCTTTTTGCAACGGAAAGGTAGTGTTTGATAGGTGGTTCCATGCTAATTTAGATCCGATCATTGAATCATGAAATATGTAGATATATATATATTTTTTTTAAGTCGGTTAAGTTAAGTTTTTGCTAAAAATTACTTGTTATATATATAAATACCCTACTATAAGCACCTACCATAGATACGTTTGCGTACCAAATTTCAATTTCATTTGACTTATGGTTTGGAAATTATGGCTGATAAAATTTTCCACGCCTATGGGATGTGCCACGCCCCCTTTTACAAACCCATTTATATATAAGCACCTACCATTGATATATCTGCATACTAAATTTCAAGTTCGTGGGCCTTATAGTTCGGAAGTTATAGCTGATAAAAAATTCCATGCCTATTGGATGTGCCATGCATTCTTTTCCAAACTCATTTATATATACCCTTATATAAGTACCTACCATTAAAATGGCTGTGTACGAAATTTCAAGTTCAAGCAACTTATAGCTCCGGAGTTATAGCTGATAAAACATTCAAGGTCCATGGGATGTGCCGCTCCCCCTTTTACAAACTCACTTATATATAGCCTACTATAAGCACCTACTATAGATACGTCTGCGTACTAAATTTCAATTTCACGTGACATATGATTCCGAATTTTCCACGCCTATGGGATGTTCCACTCAGTTACATATATATGCCTTACTTAAAGCGCCTACCGTAGACATGCCTGCACACCAAATTTCAAGTTCATGTGACTGATGGTTGTGAAATTATAGCTGATAAAAATTTCCACGCCTATGGGATGTGCCAACCCCCTTTTACAAACCCCTTTATATATACTTTACTGTAAGCACCTACCATAGTTATGTCTGCATACCAAATTTCAAGTTCATGTGCCTTATAGTTCCGGAGTTATAGCTGATAAAATATTCCTATGGGATGTGCCACGCCCACTTTTACAACCTAATTCATATATACCCTACTATAAGCACCTACCATATGTATGACTGAATAACAAATTTCAAGTAAATATGACTTATAGTTTCGGATTTATGGCTGATAAAATATTCCACGACTATTGGATGTGCCACGCCCACTTCTACAAACTCATTTATTTATACCATACTATAAGCACATACCATATATATGACTGTATACCAAATTTCAAGTTCATGTGACTTATGGTTCCGAAGATATGGCTGATTAAAAATTTCACGCCTATGGGAAGTGCCACGCCCCCTTGTCAAATCCAATTTTGTTTACCCTATTATAGGCCCAGGTGTCATGGCAATGCTCTGTCAAAATTTTCTCCGATTCTGTCCGTCCGTTTAGGCTGCAACCTGGCACATACATACATACATACTTCCACAAATATATAGTAGATATATCCTGCTCTTAGCGTAAAATAATTTTTGGCGATGTCTCGGCCACAGGGCCACCTATCGTGTAAGTTTCGAGTCCAAATATTTCTTTTAAATTGGCTAAATTGTTTTCTAAATATGAGCCAAATCAGCAAGTAAATGCAATTTTTCTGAATATCCCGACCCCAGCGCTACCCAGCGATTAAATTTTTAGTCGAAATATTTCCCTTCAAGGTGCTGAAATATGTTCCAAATATGAGCGAAATCGGTCTAGCCGTTTAGTAGTTTAGTGACATTCAATATACGGAAAACTCTATGAAATTGTGAAATCGGGACGTCTCAGCTTTCTTCATTTTTCGGCAACAACAACAAAAAATTTCAAATTTTTTTAAATCAGAAAACCTTCCACACGGAAGGTCCAAAAATGTGCTTTTACAGAATTGAAATCGGTTCAGCCATTTGGTCAGGCATCGCGGTCATACGAAAAACATTTCATTTTTATATATCTAGATACTAGAGTGGTTTATAAAAACACTCTTTTTGGAAATTCATAAAGGCTACATCAGAATATAGATATTTGTGATAAAAAAAGAGACACGTATTTTTTCTTTTGAAAAAAAAAAGTTTTCTTCGAGGTCGCGCTGGTCGGTTTTTTATAGAAACGCTGATGTTCTCAATTTTTTTATTTTCTTGACATGTTAAAATGCAGCTAAAAATGTGGTTTTTACATATAATTACTCTGGAATTATTGGGGAACTTTCTCTTAATTACACACCTGTCTTGGACAATTAGAATGGGTCTAGTTCCAAAAATATGCTCTCGAAAAGACACTAGTAAAATTAAAACCTTGATACTGAACGATTTACGCATTGTCATGGGTTGGAACTTGTTACCAGGGGGTTCCTGGGGTTGCTAATTAGGAATCTGAAGTCAGATTTTCAAAATTAAAAATGGCGGATCCAAAATGGCGATCCATTTTTTTTTTAAATGATTGGATTTGTTCGAAAACCGGCACTCAAGAGTTTTTGGGGTCGCCGATTACGAATCTGAAGTCAACTTTTTTAAATTCAAAATGGTTGAACCAATATGGCTATCAAATTAAAAAAAAAAATACTAAAATTAAAACGTTGATACTGAACGGATTACATTGTCATGGGTTGGAACTTGTTACCAGGGGGTTTCTGGGGTTGCTGATTACGAATCTGATGTCAGATTTTCAAAATTCAAAATGGCGGTTAAGAGTTTCAAACAAATCCAATAATTTTTTTTTTTAAGTTGGTCGCCATTTTGGATCCACCATTTTGAATTTTGAAAATCTGACATCAGATTCGTAATCAGCAACCCCAGAAACCCACTGGAAACGTGTTTTAACCCTTGACAATGATTAAAACGTTCAGTATCAACGTTTTAATTTTAGTACTTTTTTTTAATTTGATCGCCTTATTGGATCCCCAATTTTGAATTTAAAAAAATTGACTTCAGATTCGTATTCGGCGACCCCAAAAACACTCGAGTGCCGGGTTTCGAACAAATCCAATCATTTAAAAAAAATTTAACGCCATTTTGGATCCGCCATTTTGAATTTCGAAAAACTGACTCCAAATTCCTAATTAGCAACCCCAGAAACCCCCTGGTAACAAGTTCCAACCCATTACAATGCGTAAATCGTTCAGTATCAACGTTTTAATTTTACTAGTCTCTTTTCTAGAGTATATTTTTGTGCACTAGGCCCATTCTAACTGCCAAGATAGGTTTGTAATTAAGGGAATGTTCCCAAATAATACCAGAGTAATTATATGTAAAAAACACATTTTTAGTTGCATTTTAACATGTCAAGAAAATTAAAAAATTGAGAACATCAGCATTTTTATAAAAAAACCTACCAGCGCGGCCTCTAAGAAAACTTTTTTTTCAAAATAAAAAACAAGTTTCTCTTTTTTTATCACAAATAAAAATAATTTGAGGTAGCGTTTATGAATTTCCAAAAAAAAAATTTTTGAACCACTCTAATATATACGTACGTATAAAATTCAATGCAAAATATAACCATATTTTTAGTTAAGCTACACTTAACAGCACATTCACAATATATTGAAAGTTAAAGTTTGTGTTTTAAAACTTTATACAAAACA